TAAGAGGACAAGCACAGGGCTAAAGTTGAATAGAGAACATACTACAAATGGATCCTTGATAATTTCACAATCAAAAGAAGTGAAAGCATAGAATTTACAGCACCTTTAAGACAGTGAATTGATGGATCTGTGAATTGATTTATCTATTACAATATCCTCATGGATAGTCACCCCACCTATTTGCTGCCAATGCTGTAAAGACACATAGAAATTTTGAGAGTTCATGAAAAGAAATGGACCAACAACCATTCAATGAATGTAGTAGCTTCAGAGTAATTATTCTTGAAACATACCTTAATGTAAGATGAAGCAGCTTGAGAGTGGTTCTCATTTGTCCTAGTAATGAATATGTCCCAAAAGAGGAACCATCTTTGAGATAGAAAGCCACCAGGCGCATCAATAGCTAGGTCATATGTAAACACAAAATTAAAAGATAGATATCAACTCATTATTTAATTTTCTTAGACATCAATAGCTAGGTCAATACAGCCTTATAGACAAATTTGTCATAACTAATTTTCAAAAGAATTGAACCAAAAGCAATAGAAAAAAAAAGATTTAAAAAAGTAACTTACCTAATACAACCTGTGAAATACTTCTTTAAAAACAATATTAGTTGTTTGTTTTGAGACATTGCCTTAAGCATCCAAATTTAGGATTTTCAATTCATGCTTGCTCTTTACTCTTGAAAGTGCAACATACAACTGACCGTGATTGAATATTGGCCTTGGAAGGTAAATTCCAGCATGTGAAAGAGTCTACCCTTGACTTTTATTGATGGTCATAGCAAAACACTTAACTAAAAGAAATTGTCTTCTTTGAAATTTCACTGGGAGCGAATGGTTGGAAGGAGTCATTACTATTCGAGGTACAAGAACAGACTGACCTGCACTTTTTCCAGATAAAATCCTTCCTTCAACAACATGGTTTCCACGTCTTGTGCTTAATAACCTTGTTCCTTTGCACAAGCCACTAGATTGATCAATATTTCTCAAAAACATGGTTGGGACGCTTGCTTTGAAAGTCACTTTTTGATCCAGAAATCCTGAAGCAATGAATGTGCTAAGTACCTCGGGGGAATATGTTTGCTTATTGGTGTTCTAGTCCAAATCATCATTGCATATTGAATTTGAACTTAAGTAGCTTTTTTCCATACTTTTAATGCTAGACATCAAATGATCATTCAACATAGCAACATCCTAAACTATTGGAGACAAAATGAAGCACTCTTGGAAGAACTTAATATCTTGATCGTTTATTCCACTCAAAAAGTTTGGATATACAAAATCCACAAGTTCACCAAGTCTATTAACATCATCCTTGATCAACATTTCTTCTAGAATCTTAATAATAGACTCACCATCAGCATCATTTCCAATCTCTCCATCTTCAACTTTCAATAACCAATTAAAAATACTTAACTCCACTAAATCATAGTTAGATAAGGCTGTCTGTAACCTAAGATTCTTTGTAAGAGTCAAAACTTGACAATAATCCCATCGGTAGGAAGAGTTTATTGTTGCATGAACAATTTCTTGTCTACTGCCATAAGGAACTACTAGCAAAATTTGTCTAAAATCACCTTCAAGAACAATAATTATCCCTCCAAAAGGTCCTTTTGAAATGTCATTATTATCATCTTTGAGGACGTCTCTCAAGGATTTGTCTAATGATTCAAAACAAAACCTATGTGACATTGGAGCCTCATTCCATACAATTAATTTAGTCTTGGATAGCAACTCAGCTAGAGGGTCCCCTTTTTTATGTTGCAACTGGAATCCTCATTTAGGTCTATTGGGATAACAAATCTAGAATGTGCTGTTCTTCCTCTAGATAGCAATTCCGCAACAATATCACTCAAAGCAAGATTAAGAATAATTTGTCCCTTTGATCTAAAAGATACTGATAGAGTTTTCCAAAAAAATTTTTTCCTAGTACCTCCAAAACCATATAAAAAAGAAAACACCTCATTTATTCTTATTAGCTACTTGCATAATAGTATCATAAACCTTTCTTTGCTCATCAGTAAGACATGACAAATACTTCTTGAGTTCCTCGGATAAAAAAGCTTTGTCATAACACAATTCATCCAAAATTAATTTATTATGTATGCCACAAAATATCACACCATTAGGCTTTGGCATGGAAGGGAAATCATCAAGACACCTTCCATTTCCTTGAAGAATTTTCTCAATTTTAGCAAGAGCATTATTCTTAATTTCCTCATCACTTATATGCAAATCTACAATAAACAATAAATTAGAAAAGTCATTGTATGAAATGAGCATAAAATAAAAGAGACTTATTATTTTGTAAAATAAGAAAAATAAATAAGATTACAAAGTGAGCAGTAGAAAAAAAAAATCTTGTCTCCTAGTGACTTGTCTTTAACAATGAATTATGTCATCAGATAAATATTTCCAACATGTATCCCAAACATGCTTAGGTCTACACGTGCTCTTAGAGAATAGTAAAGATGCAAAAAGCTGCCGAAGGTAGTGTGCAGTCTATCCCCACAAATGAGTTTCATTTATAGCATCAATATACTCTTTGTCATCATCCAATAGCCCAAGGAATAACATGGTTCTTTGAAGTTAGGATACATAGTATCATTTATTGTTTTAATATCTTCATGACTTCTACATCCTCTTTGAAAATTCAACAAAATCCTCAAATAATATTACTCCCCCATACCAGGCGGCACATTAGTTATTCTTCCAATAGTGAAGTCCTTTTTCCTTTTGGTCCACTCATGTGTTTGTTCGTTGTAGACAAATTGTGTGGGATATTCAACATAAGTAAGTTTCCTTGCAAAATCAAACTTCCTATTTGCTTCATCCAAGCCTCAACCATTGGTTTTTTAGAATCAACTTTACTTAAAACTTCCTCAATGTCATCGTTATCTTTGTAAACAACATAGTTCTTATCCTTCAGGTGGAAAGATAATCTATGCATAGATGGAGACCTATAATGAATTGAAAATCCAAGGATCCTCAAACCTGCTTCACAGGCAAAAACATACCTACATTTCAATCAAAATCATTTTAATATATTGATGATTGTTATAAAAATGAAGGTAAGCTAAATAATAGCTCTGCTAGAAGTGTGTTTTAGAATGACCATAATTTTGTTAGTTCGTGGTAGAAAGATTCAAACCATTGTTGTCAAAATCGCAAGTTATCTCGTAAACTCGAACGATTTTACATTCTTAGGGATAGAAAACGAGTTAGATGGTCCATAAAATCGGGACTTTGTGAAGTCGTGGTGGACTGGTCATGAACTCGTAAAATCATTTGAAATTGGATGAACGCACGAGCTTACAAAATCTAAACTTTTGCATTGGGTCTCATCGGATCGGCACCAAATTAGCTTTGAACTTGCCACCCATGCTTCTAATTTCAGGTGTTAACTTCCCTTTATTTGATTTAGACACTCTTACTGATAATCTGTTTCTAAAAGGAGCAAAGAAACATGGAGAGAGGAAGCTTAAATGGAGCAAAAATGGAAGAAATCTATTGCCCAAAAAAAGAACAAGGATGAAAGAGTAAGCCAGGTTGAAAGGAAAGCAAAGAAGGATAAAATTTGCTGCAAAGAAAAGGAGTAAATAAGGAGAAAGGGAGCTTGAATGGAGCAAAAATGATAGAAAAGAGGGAAATCGAAAGGGCAAAAGCCTAAGAATAGCCCCTTACCTTGATAAGTTGGACGGTTTTGACCCCTCACCTTATAATATAACGGTTTTAACCCCTAACCTATAAGAATGGAAGAAAATAGCCCTTTTTTGTAACTTCCTTTCGTTTGGTTGTTACCGTCCTCACTTCCGTCCCTTCCTCCGTTAACTTTCTCAAAGCTTCTCCATGGA